GGGGGAGGGGGCGAGAGGGTGCATGGGCTTAGGGACAGGGCCTGGCAAACGTTGCTCCGTCGTCCCTCGTTATCCGTGGGGTGGGGGGTGGTTTCCAGGACCCCCACGCGTCCAAAACCCAGGCGCGCTCACGTCCCTGCTATAAAATGCTATAGTATTCGCACTGAACTTGCCGCACATCCTTCTGTATACTTTAAGTCAGGGCCAGATGTCGTCGAATAGCTAATGTAATGTAAAGGCTATGTAAATTGCTCTTACACCGTATTGTTTAGGGAACGAAGTGGGTACGCGTTCAGGACAGACACGACCAACCTTTTTTTTTTTTTTCCTTCAAATATTTTCAATCTGCGTCCGGTTGGGAGCCCAGGGATGCAGGAGGACCCACTGTATTTTGTGAGACAAGGTAGGGATTGTTAACACCATCTTATCAGAGGCGCGAATGGGGTGAACAGTGAGGTAAGTACCGCTTCCCTCTGATGCCAAAGCATTCTCTTTACCTCTAAGGACAATGACCTTCCTACGCTTGGCTGCGTCGGGAGAGCATTAAATTGCCGCGGATCCATTTAATAGCAGACTCGAGTTATTTACATTTAAGCTGAAATTAAAGGGAGCCAGCACCCAGGGTGGAGGTGGCAGGGCAGAGTGGGAAGAGAATTATATGAGTGCACGCAGTTTTAAAACATTCTCTTATGGATGGAAATTTGGGTTGTTTCCAGTAATGAAGTTTTATAGATTGAACATGATTTTAAATCAATTATACTTTCTTCTCTCGGCTGATGGTAACCACAATCCACTAGGAAACATTTTCTACTCTAGATTTTCTACCTAAAATCGAATACTCCTGTTTCCAAAATTGTTCTGGATGGAAATATCTTGAAACCGCGCTTGCTTTTTTAAAAAGTATTTTGGCAAATGTTACAGGATCCATTGTTTGCCCCAGCCCCCCCTCGGGCTCACCCTCCTCTTCCCTTCCATTCAAAGCCGGTTTAAAAATTGTCATCTTGGTGCACAATGAGGTGCACCAACCCTGACAGCACCAAACCGCCCTTTGCACGGTGACCTTTTTCTAGTCTCTGTCTTGCGGGAGCTTCCTGCAGCCTTCCACCTAGCTGTCCTCTTTCTCCTCTGTCGTGTCTTTTCTCACCTCTCTGGCTGCACCTTCTGCCTTCTTTGAGGGCCCCTTTTTCACCTGGTCCTAAGCAGTGATATTCTGTGGGGAGTTCTGTCTCTAGCCTCGTCTTCTTGTTCTCCGTACTCCCCCTGAGTGAGCTCATCTACTCCCATGGCTTCTGCCATCGTATTATGCTGCTGACTTGCCAACCCAAATCTCCAACTTTCAGCTCTCTCTCTCTTTCTCTCTCTCCCTCTGCCCCTGAGATGATGGGGCCCACAGTCTTAAAGAGGCAGTCTAGTAAGGCATTCAAAACCTCTGGGTTCACATGAGTCCAAATCTCGCTCTACCACCTCCTAGCTGTATGATAGTGATATGTCATTTGACTTCCCGGTCCTTTATCTGCAAAACGGGGATAGCTACATCTCCCTCACTGGGTTGCGATGATCACATGGGAAATCAGATAGGGTATACTTGGAGATGGAGGGATGTGTGGGGTCCATGCTTTCTATTTTCAGAGGAGATGGAACCATCTCTCCGAACCCTGGAAGGGAAGATTTAGAGGAAGGTTGCAGGCTTTTGGCTGTCCTCTTACTCTTGCTTCCCCAGGGGAGGAGTAACGAGTTATCCGATGGATTTTCTTTTTTTTTTTTGAGTTGGAATCTCACTCCGTCACCCAGACTGGAGTGCAGTGGCCGCTCCTGGCCACCGCAGCCTCGACCTGCTGGGCTCCGGCGATCCTTCGCCTCAGCCTTCCAAGTAGCTGGAACTACAGGCGCGCGCTACCATGCCCGGCTGATTTTTTGATTTATTGTAGAGATGAGGTCTCGCCTGCCCAGGCGGGTCTCGAACCCGCGGGCTCAGGCAATCCACTCACCTCAGCCTCCCAAAGGCGCAGGACTACAGGCTGAGCCACCAAGCCCGGCTAAATTTACCATCTTAATCGTTTTTTGTTTTTTTTTTGAGTTGGAGTCTCACTCTGTCGCCCAGACTGGAGTGCAGTGGCCGCTCCCGGCCACCGCAGCCTCGACCTGCTGGGCTCCGGCGATCCTACGCCTCAGCCTTCCAAGTAGCTGGAACTACAGGCGCGCGCTACCATGCCCGGCTGATTTTTTGATTTATTGTAGAGATGCGGTCTTGCCGCCCAGGCAGGTCTCGAACCCACGGGCTCAGGCAATCCACTCATCTCAGCCTCCCAAAGGCGCAGGATTACAGGCTAAGCCACTGAGCCCGGCTTATCTGATGGATTTTAGGAAGAGGAACTTCACGTGATTTTCTCAGCCCCTGCAAGGCTATTCTTTTCTGAATGGTCTGTCCACCCTTCTCTTCTGTCCTGTCTGAGCTGGCCTGCTGCTTGAGTCGGTGTGCAGTCGCCCTGTCCTGTTTGCCTAAGGGAGTATGTTCAGTTGTGGAATCTAATAGGAATTACATTTGGTCAAACTTTCCCATTTGACTTTACCTCTATTAAACTTTCTGATTTCCAGTTTTTGTTTCCAGTGAGATCCAAACTCAAAGGGGACTTAAGAGGGTGAGCAATAATTATTCCTCAAACCCCACAATGTAACATGTGCCGGGACATAGTGAATGCCCAATAAATGATAACTAACCATTGCTATTTGTCTTCTGGTCATTTATCCCTGATATCTAACAGGTCCCCCACACTCAGCTTTCGGGAGATAATTTTTATTCATGGGTTTCCTGCATTCTTTTTTTGAGTTGGAGTCTCTGTCACCCAGACTGGAGTGCAGTGGCACGCTCACAGCCACCACAGCCTCGACCTGCTGGGTTCTGGTGATCCTTCTGCCTCAGGCTTCCAAGTAGCCAGAACTACAGGCACGGCTATTTTTTTTGATTTATTGTAGAGACGAGGTCTTGCCAAATTGCCCGGGTGGGTCTTGAACCCGCAGGCTCAGGCAATCCACTTGCCTCGGCCTCCCAAAGTGCTGGGATTACAGGCTGAGTCACCGAGTCCGGTCGGTTTCCTGCATTCTTACAGAGTCTAGACCTGTTTGAATAGCTTTGAAAAGCTAGAACTAGAGCTAGTGTATCTTTTTTTTTTTTTTTTTTTTGAGTCAGAGTCTCACTGTCCCCAGGTTGGAGTGCAGTGGCATGCTCATGGTCATCTCAGACTCTATCCTGCCTCAGCCTTCCAAGTAGCTGGAATCACAGGTGAGCACCACCACACCCAGCAATTTTTTTGATTTATTGTTGAGATGAGGTCTCGTCAAGTTGTCCAGGCTGGTCTCCAACCCCTGGACTCAGGCAATCCTCTCGCCTCTGCATCCCAAAGTGTTGAGATTACAGGTGTGAGCCTTTGCACCCGGCTAAGCTAGTGTATGTTTCTGGAGAGATTTAGAGATCTATTTTGGAGAGACATCTCAGGTAATGAAGATATGGCTATGAGTATGTTTAATTTTATATGACATCAAACTGATTTTCAAAATGTTTGGCATCTCATTATTATTTTCTTTTTAAAATTTATCTTTATTTACTTATTTTTTTCAGTCCCAGTCTCACTCTGTCACCCAGGCTGGAGTGCAGTGACACTCTCACGGCCACCGCAGCCTCGACCTGCTGGGTTCTGGTGATCCTTCTGCCTCAGCCTTCCAAGAAGCTGAAACTACAGGCGTGCGCCACCATGTTCAGCTAATTTTAAAAATTTATTTATTGCAGAGACGAGATCTTGCCATGTTGCCCAGGCTGGTCTCGACCCATGAGCTCAGGCAATCCTCTTGCCTCCGCCTCCCAAAGTGCTGGGATTACTGGCATGAGCCACTGTGCTGAGGCCTCATTGTTATTTTAATTTACATTTACTTGGTAACAAATGTGGCTGGTCACTTTTCACATATTTATTGGTCAGTTTGATATCTTCTTTTGTGAAATGCCTGTTAATGTCTTTT